TTCATGAACTTAGGCAACAACTTCAGCGGAATAACCGAAGTGGCTTATATCGAAAATTAATTAGGTAGATTAATGATTTTATCATCAATATCGTTTGTTATAGTATAGCTGGAGTGAGAGCAAAATATGAACTATGTCGCTGGCATTACAATAGATTTCTTTTACTAGATACTTTCCGTTATTGTAGCCATCGTCAGTATCTTTTATGTGAATGTATTTCAAAAGATACCGCATAATATTGAAGCATCGTATTATTTCATTTCGATGTTATCGTATTGGAATTGTTTAAATTTTTTAATCGTTTTATTCATTATTCTGACTGGTACACCTTTAGTGGTTCCATCTTTCTCCGTCTGCTTTGTCCCGCAATATTATCGCCAAGCCTTTTTAAGCTGATGCAAGAGTGTCCTGATCAGAAAGCTTCGCGACATTTAACACTCGTAGCTAAAGTTATACAGAACTTAGCAAATTGTACTAGGTAAATGGGAGTACTACTTTTAAGTAAGATGATATTTTAAGATTTAATATTTTAACTATAATTATCTCTATTCGAATATTTAATATACAGATTCGATAATAAGGAAAAGTATATGGGATTTATGAATGATTTTATTGATAAAGAAGCGATTAAAATGGAATATTTTTTAGATCGAATATCGGTAACTTTTAGTACATACGAGTATTTTAGATTAGCCATATTCTTTGTAATCTATAAAGTCGTACTCTTGATAGTGCTATAGTGGTATCGTATTTACAAATCAATATTAAATAGCTTTTTATTTTAGGAGCATCGTGGTCAACCAGATGATGAAGAAGACATCATTATACCATTCTTCACCGTTGATATAGGCAAACAATTAGCTATCCTTCATTTAGTATTAAGCCAGAGTTTAATCCAACTCAAAGAGGTACATGTTTAAGGAGCTGGGGCATGATTTGTTACGTTAATAATTCCATTGTCAGCAATATATGAGATAAAAATTTCTAATTTATATCCGTCAATGATTAAAGTAATATAAAAATTATATCGGATACGCAAAAAATTTTCATTTGCAATGATACTTAATTATTAAATATTAATGGATAAAATTAGAATTTCTAAGGGTCATTAATGAATTGTTTATAGTAAGAAAATTATCCTTTAATACTAAATCAGGAGAATGCAAATGATAATTTCGTTACTGTTTACGAATTAGGAAGAGCAGCAATTGCTTGGTTCACTACCGCGAATTTTAAGTGATATTACCCGAATGGTGGAAGTATCTGAAAGCTCTTCTATGTTATATTTTTCATCAGCTTTTCGTCGTGGAAGGACCGGCAGCAGTAGCAGTAGTGACAATCGCATGTATAATACTATTGCTAGCGATACATCTAAAGAAAGGTCCAATATATCTATATTCTCTCACTTTATGTTAAGCCCAAGCTTTGTTGCAGCAAGCGAACGCTTCCATTCAACTCCTAACATTCACAAAGAATTACCAGATGAAACTGCTCTATCGCGTTCACTAGAATCTGATGACCAGCCAGTGAAAAGCAGGCGTGGGCCTCGTTACTTCTCATTAAAGCGTCTAACTACAAGTCATGATCGACGAATGAGCGATGATCGACCTGATGCAAATACTAATCAAACTAGTTCATTGGTTAATGATACTTTGATGTCTACTAATAGCCGAGTTGATGAATTAGTTTCAAGTCATCCATTGGTAAATAATAGTGCCATGTCAACATGTAAAAGTGCAACACAACCGGTAAATATACCCGGATCAAGCTATTCACATGGACACCTTGATGCATCATCACTGTTGATCAATTCTCCATTAACAATTAATACAAGCAGTAATAACAGTAATTATACCGAAGCAATGTTGAGTATGGATAGAAAACAGCCTGTCCCGATTCATTTGATGTCGCCGAACGGTAGTGCTAATGCATTGGCTGGAAGCTTTGGAACCCCCAAAGAATCAAGGACAAAACAGAGTAAAAAAAATCATTCAGTAGAAACGGAAAATTTACTCATGCCCGAATTCTATATTAACAATTGGCAACACTCGCCACAAGATAGCCACAGTGATAGTGATAGCAGCTCAACTAATATACAATTTTCGCAACCCCATGACATAGAGTTTAACGCTAATAATCTTGCACCTAGTTCGATAAAGAATAATGAGAACGTACACGATCGTTTCCGCCGCTATCCTTCTACTTCTCAACATCACATCGAAGAAACCGAATTATTGAAAGATCCCGGTTTTTGTCAGACGACACAAAATGAAGCTAAAGTATACCGCATTGATTTGGATTCTACAGAATCGTCATCGGAAGATAATCATTCTAATACTTCGCAAAATCAGTTAGAGACTCGGTATTATACAATACCTGCAGGCAATCATGAACAAATTGGTAATATGAGACGTAATGCCAGCTTTCAACAAGCAACATGCCTAAGTGGAATAACAGCAATAACTTCGTCAACGTTAACAGAGAAGAAGGCAATAGTTGGTGGCCTTAGTAACAATGCCAATGCTGGGCATGAGGCTAACGGAAATGCCTCAGCCACTGCTATAGTGGATTCCAAAAGCATTAAAATTTTGGAATTAGAATTAAGTAGATATCAACATGATCTTATTTCAACCCAAAAACAATGCCAAGAATATGAAGAGACTATTAAACGAGTTGATGCCGTGTGGAAAAAGCGAATGAATGATTGTGAAGCTCATTTACAACGACAAGTTGAGGAGAAAGAGCTACAATTAAAAAATATTATAAGTCGATTATTATCAGTTGAAGAAGATGTTCGCAAAGAGCAAGCTGAGCTAAAGGCTATTGTCAAGGCTAAAGAAAAAGTAATTGAGATGCAAGATAAGAGAATTCGTACGTTAGAGAATATTAATGCTAAAACCATATCAGTCTTAAATGACTTTCGAGCTCGCTATTCGCCTAAACCAAGTAATAAGCATGAATCCCATATTCCTGTTAATTATTGTGATGATACTAACGAAAATAGTGAAACTAATAGTGATAATTGATTTTTGTATGTTACATGCGCGTATTAAATAATTCTTTTCAGAAGTAAGCTGCTCCACTGTGGAGTATACATTTCGACTTAGTAGCAAATTATTTATTACATAAAATTCGACTTTCTGAGTTGCTGCATAATATACGGATGCAAATGTATTAGATAATAAATTTATGTTCAGAAAACTGTCAATAGTTAATTATTGCTATTATGATTTATCATTTTGCTGATTACATTTAACTAAAAGCTGCTGCCAATAAGTAAACTCACAATAATGCACAATTATTATATATTTTGTTTTCGTGATTCAATATGGATATAAAATCATAAAATCATTGATTTCAGCTCACAATTGACTACGTGCTATAGTTTAATATTTGATGTGTTCGTCACATTTTACATTGAAAAATTAATATAATTAATTATAAGCGCTTTATTTATGAGAGATAGAAATCATGAAGTTATCATGCTGTGTGCTGGCTTTAGTTGAAATATTTTGTTATATTTCTTTATTATATTCGTAGCTCTTTGTGGCATTTAGATACTTGTCAACCATTTCTAATTCTTATCCCCGAATGAAATTATTTGACGATTACATTAACAACTTGACGATTAATTTTATTGTAAATAGTTAACTAATCCTTTGAAGGGTATCAGTACAGATGAGAAATCTTGTTAAATATGTCATGTGAACTTATACAGTTTTAATTTCGATTCTGATTATATGTTGATGCAAAAGATCTAGATCTTTATATTATGGCGGTTGTCGTATCTTATAGTATTCATAATCAAAAGTTTTATCATGTTGGCTACGCTTACTTATTGTTATTCATTGGGTGCAGTTATTAATTTTGCCAACCGTAAGTTACATCGCTAGCATGACTATGATTAAAATTGTAAATATTAACTTTTACTTCAAAAGAAAACTGTATTACTGATTAATTTATGCTATTGAAATTATAAGTTCGCCCAGTCTTTCTTTTTCATTTTAAGAGTAACTGAAAATTAAAGTATAATTTTATTAGTTAAAAATTTCTTTATGCTTTTATATTATTTATGTATGAATCTGTTTTATCCATTCGCCTTATTTGTGTACGTAACATAACGGTTATACGATATATGCGTACTCTACCATTCGAAATAACTATTTCTTGTCATGTTCATTTCATGTGGGCTCATTTGCTGGAGTTGTTCAGACTGTCTTACATCGCTGTTTAGTAGTAAGTACTTGTACGCCGTTGAATTATTTATTTAGTGATAGTTCCTTTAACAAACAAATTACAATAATTTGACTCATTTACTTTAACATTTTACTTGTTCTTGAACTAAACTTTACAAGCATCTTGTATCTTCAAATCCTGCAGTATCAATACACAGAGTACCATTACGATTTGACAAATCTTAAGCTGCAATTACTGGAAAACTTAAAGTTTTACTCCTCAATGCTAAATAGAGCATATTTTATTCACTGAATCAATCAGTAATAACTGCAAAACCAAGGATAATAGTAATATTTTTATTTAAGAAGGCGGCCACTAATTAAAAAATGCTTGTCTTAATTAATTTATATACGTAAGCAATTCCGTCAAATTTAAATATGTACAGTACATTAAATTTTATGTTGCATAAAATCTAAGATTATATGTAACTAACTATAAATTACGATATCTTCGATTACAGTATTATTACAATAATTAACTTGTCGAAATTTTCGAACGAGTAAGAAATATAGAAAGATGATATATAATTCCATACTATTTTACCGTTTTCTTCTATTGTATTTTATCTTTGTTCTAACTCTTCGGGAATACATATTCATTATTCTACAAGTATTACTGCTGTGCTGATCATATTACGTACGCGCATACTCCAGATTTTATCTTTAATTCCCTTTGAATTCATTTTAAGCTTACACCTTCAAGTATACTTCAGTTATTTTACTGCCTGCTCGCAAGGCTATTGCTTTCAAGTAGATTGTTAATAGATGAAAACTAATCAACTATTCGCATTTTTGTACCAACCAATAAATGAAGACGTAGTTCAGAAATTGCAGACTTTTGAAGATGATAAGCAACGTAGTGTAGAATGTGAAGTATTAGTTACCCAGGTAAGTACGTTAAATTTGTATACGAGAATAGAATATAATGGCCTATGCCGTAATTTTTACTATTAAACGAGATAAGTACAGCAACTGTGAGAGTACACTGCACCACACAGTGCTGTAAGTGTTGTACGGAATACGTCATAGAGCAGCTATTGCACACTACGCTGTAAAGATGTCAACGTTGCAATTTTACTGAAGCCGTAGTAATCCATGTTGTGGTGTTATTTGGTTAATTCCTAGATTCGAGCTTACTCAATTTAAAATAGTAAGTTGCATGGTACTTGAATTGATTTTGATCTAACGCTAGTAATGTATATTGGATAATATCACTAGTTTAGATCGAAAATTATAAATACGAATTTCATAGAGAAACCTATTAAATTATATTAATTAAATAAGATTTAAAGGATTATGGTTCAAACGGGCTGTTTATAGAAGTCAGCCGAGTCATTAAGCATGCAACGTACCTATACATTTTTTAATCAGAAAACAGGAAGCGTCCGCAAGAGTATCATAGTTGCTAGTATTTTCATTACATAGTCACTACTGTGTAGCGCGTGCCAGTTCATTATAAAATCAGGAATGCTCTGAAAATGCATTATACCAGCATAATTCCTTTATGACCTTAACGAACTACAGATACTATGTGCACTTCCTAATATTCAATTTAAAATGATATTACTACATCACCGAGCGATAAAATTACGCGATATTTGTAATTTATTAATACCTATCTTTCATATTGTCATAAACGTATGTTGTAAAAGCAAAAGAATATGTGAGAAAAAGTGTATCTTAATATTAATTGCATTTATACAGTGGAATATGTCTAGTAATAAATATTGTTTTAATTAAATTTATATCATAATCAACTTAAAATAATTTTTATTAGAAATAGATTCATAAGTTCACAGAATAAGAAGGCAAACTTATAGCAACGCATTAGCTCTGATACACCGTAAGGGGCCTGGTTGTTTTTTAGTAGTCCTTGGTGCCGTGTAGACACCGATGTACTGCTAAAACAATACTGACAGAAAATGAATGAAATAAGCTTGAATATTAGTTATCGTACAGTAAATTGCACCCAAGAGCTACGGTACAAAAGAAAAAATGTGTTAGCGCAATACTGTCCATAGGTATATGCGAGTGTGTATCGAGATTCGGCTTGCACAATATTGATTGATTGATTATAATTAAACAAGCTATCTCCATTAAACCATTAACAAGGTGACAGCAAATATGGATATCTGCACACCATCGGCATGCGCAATCCTTGCAGTCACAGATGTTCCTTGCTTTTTCGAAGAGACCAGATGACGAATTAAGTTTTACATAACGTTCACTTAATTCACCGCATGTTGTTGGTATTAGCGGTCCTTTCGTAATACAGAAGCATCATACATTGTACAGTATACGGTAATGACTGTAAATTTGCATCAGCAAGTACAGTATAGTAACAGACGGTGTACAAAGAAATAGCACGCGAAAAAGCAAAAATTGCGTATGTAAAATTATCATTGTAGAACTTCATTGAAAATCAGATCAATAAAATTTCTATAAAATGAAGCGGGTACTTGGTAGCTTACCGAATAACGAGGATGAATTCAACAAGACGTATAAGTGTGGCGCTCGATGCTTTGGTACACTTGCAGCTGTGGGTAAGTACTTATACGTTGGAGTCAATCATTTTGGATAAGAAAATCGGTAATATACTGTATATACTGTACAGTATAAATACCAATTTACCTTGTAGGTGAAAAGGCGGAGAAGATTGCTAATTTTTAAGACGATTTGCATAAATAGAATGAGTAAAATCATATCGTTAAGTGTGTCTTCGAGATGTAATATTAATGCATTGGCTAAAATAAGAAATCGAGTTAGAGGGTATTTTTTAATGGTATAATCAACGTATCACTATATCCCTTAAGACAAATTTTTTTCAGTAAACAGCTTTTATTTTCAGCGAAACTAGATAAGGGAAAATTGAAGTATTCCATGTATTGTGTTGTAACTTACATTTGTAAGTGTACGTGTGAAATACGAGTGATGTACGCGCATATGCAATAGTTTCATTTATCGATAATAGTAGTACAGTACAGTATGCTCATTCGTGTACATTTAATGGAGAAATCGGATATTTTATTATCGTATACTGTATAGAAGAGCTCTAATCATGGTCGTAATATTATTTCCTAATGATAATTGAATCGCATATACTAGGATCTAGCTGTTTACAGTTGTTGCCTTACTAAAGAATCAATTTCCGAAGAGCCCTGATTAATACTGCTTTGTACTCGTATGTCCACGCATCATCATTGCTAAGAAGCTTCGACTCAGCTTACTTTCTACTGTCACATTCATTGAAAGGCCATTTTCATAAGCCGAATTTTGTTTTAAAAGTTGTGTGTATTTTGTTAAATAATTTGTAAAACTTTTATAGTTCCTTTTCCTTAGAACACTTGCTAATATCAAATGACTGTTTCTCATGCGCTTTCTGAATTCTTTGACCTGTTTTAAAGGCAGTCATCTACTAAACATCGATAAATCTTATTGCATATGTGTCGTACTACTCCTTAAATTATTCCTAATATACACGTACGGTATTTAGTGCATATCGATGCTAGTTGTAATTAATTTACATAATATCCATTTGGAAAGAAGTGCGGGTATAGAGAGATTTGCATATACCCGTACTTCCGGTAGTTATAGTTTAATCTTTTATCCATTTCATCGAGCTATAAACCTTGATGCTAATGTGTCAGTTATTTGACATTTTACATACTATACTTTAGTGATCATAACAAACGAAAAATTTATTAGCACAACAAGTAATGATTTGTATTAAACATGGTGCTGGCTCACTAATTCTGTAAGATCTAGTATATTTCTGCTTGTTTCAAATTCTTATGTACGGTACGTGGTTAATCCCGTTGGGGGTTGATGGGAACTATCAGACTCCTATATCATTGTAATTACTAGCACTTTAAGTTCAAGTACACGAGTATGTAGGTTTGGTATGTTCGGCATGTAGCATATTCATATTCGAGGACCATAAAGGTAAATTTCTTTCTTATACTTTTATGGCGAGGACGTATTACTTAATATCATGCTATGTTTGTCAAACTAAGAGTTTATCTAGATATTAATCAGTGTAGGACACCATTTTTAGAATATCTTATGGGTAAGGCATGATGGGTAGACAATCAGCAATACATGCTATCTGAGAACAAATCTATCTGCGGCTATGACTTTCATGCTCGTATGCGTTAAGCGCAGTAAATTCGTACTTCAAGTCTTCGTAAATGTCATGGTAGCTTATTGCATTAAATTATAGATCTAAAGCTTATTGTAGTAATTCGCATGTATGCCTGCTAATTAGTTATTAGATCGCACTGATAAAAGATGGTATTTTTATTATTATATTGCGAGCTTTGTACTAGTGCAGTTACTGAATTAATAGCCTATTATAGCAATATTGAATGAATTATATATTATCAAGATTTAAGTAAACTGCTGATGTCTGTTTAGGCAGTTTACAATTATAGGTAACAATATCATATTCAACGTATCTCTCCTTTTATATTCATTACCAAAGTGATGATAAATTAAGCCTTTATCTTAGTTCAATATTATCCTTGGATCAGTTTAGAGTGATAATCATAGTAGTCCTGCTGCTAATCGAAAATACAACGCAATGTAAAACTTGCTTATAAGAGCATGTTTGATAGTAGAGTTGTCTAGATCGAAAAATTAATTGTTAATTAAAAGAACATTGCTACCGTATGTGAACTTATCCTTTTATAATAATGAATCAGTGCGTTCGTATCATTTACTGCTCATTTTACATAAATTGAAATATAGACTGATTTCAAGGTTAGGGTTAATTGACATGTGACAAGTGCAATCTGTAAAAATTATTAATTTTAGTTTCAAATTTTTCTTACTGTATACCTATTACAGGCAAGGCATTGCAATCATTTTTACTTGTATTCAGAACTTAATAACATCGATGTTATGATGTTGTTCAACATTACCATATCTAATTTTTATGCTGTCTAGTAAAAGCAAAGTTTATAAGCATTCTAGCTTAATTGAGTATGCTTATTAGCCGTATATACTTTTCGTTGTCTAAATTTTTTATAACTTACTGTTGCAGTTTGCATAATTAATGGTATCATCACAGTCATCACCGTAAGTCCACTGTGCATAGCTATGGGGGCATATATGATGTGAGTAGTATATCAATCCTTAGGCTAATTCATATACCTTATAAGTGAAGTAAGGAGGTATTAGAATAGTCGTATAATGGTTCCCTTTTTGTATTTTTATATTTTGTATCGATCAGATTACTGGGAGTTGGAATATTCATATTTGAAGCTCCGCTTTTGTGTAAGCAAGCAGAAAGTGCTCGCACCTTCCATGAATTTATTTCTAACCGTCGATTTATTGAAAAAGCTGCTATCTATATTTTGTGAGTAACTTTGTTTTGAGAACTGAATTCGGAAGTTTCCTACTTTTATTTAATGTTTCTCATACTTTTACATCTTGATGACTCGTAGATTATCTCTTGTTCCAATCCTTGTTTGCTTTGGAATTACTACGTTAATAGGATGTGGCATGGTCTTTATTACCGGCGTATTTTATGGCCTAATGGCAATTGGAAAAAGGTGATTAGCTTATTTTAGGCTTATGTATAACTCTGGTTTCCTAAAATGTTTCAGATTGGCATAATATTGTTACGTGAAAGTTAGGTATATAATTACACCATTACATCATTAAACAGGGGCGGGGCTCGTCAGAAGCAACCTGATCAGCAAGAATTGGATCCATTAAATGATGTTGAAAGTCAAAAGGGGGATGCGAAAAAGTAAACCTTAATTTTCCGCGAATAAAATTTCGGCTTCCAGCGTTTCTGTTTCTTAGTAGATTAATTAAGTTATGAACTTGTATTCATCCTCGATGATTTCTCACCTTGAGGACTTTATTACCAGTTTATTTTTCAACCTGCATACGTATGTATCATGATATTCTTGATAGATTCTAATTACTGTATTGTACGTTTAAGTATACGAGCAGATCGTATAGACAAATTTTGGTATTTACGGAAATATGCCATCATAATCCTTAGTGAAGATAGTAAATTTTAATTATTTCGAGTATCATTGCTTCCCATTTTGGTTATGGACCTTTTAAATCTATTTATAGCTTTTAATATGTACCATAGAGTCTTTCTTTTTTGTTAGAACTCTAATAACATATCGCATTGTTTATACTAGTACATGAACATGCCTCAGTTGCCGAGTAGTGCAATTTCGATTACTGTCGATTAATTTACTGGATTTTATATGTGAGTGGCTGTCTATTTTTCACTTATTTATGCGGACATCAGTTTAAGACTGTAGTTGCAATGCGTATCATTTCTTTACAAAGCTATTGCATGATATAATGATACGTACTAATATAAATTTGAATATTAAAATCTTATACGTATTTCAATTTGCCCATAGCTAAACAGCTTTATTTCTATTGCCTATGGACTTGAACAGACATCCAGATAGGACAGCACTTTTCTGTAGTCAATCTGTAGCGTGTAATTTACTGATAAATTTGGGTTGTGCAGTACTATGGATGTAATAGCCTAATAGGTACTGGAATAGTTGCCTTAACATGGTAATGACGTCAGTTTAATTTCAGTATCCAAAACGCATATGACTTAAAAAAGGCTATTAACGTTTATGCGATGTCATATGGCACATCTTCACTAATAGAATTAATATTGCACATTATTGATATGATGCTATTAATGTTATTCGCACTTAACTATATGATCTGCGTGTTTTACTCTAGCAGCATCAAGTGCGGAAAGCAGTGATTTTGAACTTATTCCATTGAATTCAGTTTACTATATACCTAGAATTTTAATTTTTTATTCAAAGTATACCGCAACTGGTTTAACGTTTTGCCAACATAATTCTATAAATGAAGATCGCACTATGCATACAATCTCCAAAATTGATTCTTAAAAATTAATGAAATACTTTACTCTCTTAGCTATACTCTAATGCATAAATAAATTTATTGTACCTCATATCCTTGCCATGGATATGCTTCAATATATGAAATATTGTGGTTAAAAACTGAAAGAAAATTACATGTACGATAATATAAAATCATAATGACGAATAGTTACTACTTTAGTGACCAAATTCAGATAATCGGACAGGACTTTACATTTTGTTGCACGCCGTATATCAGAATTAGTGAGAGCAACGAATGCATTTGAAGGTAATCATTTAGATTGTTGTTCAGTAGGGAACAGTCCACCTCCAACCCTACTAGCTGCTCTTGAAGGTGCAAAACCAAGCAGCTTTTGCAAATTCTGTAAATATAGGTAAAGGAACTTAGACGTGTATTTTTTCTTTTAATGGTATAAATATGAAATTGTGAAGATCGAATCAGCCTGAACATATTTGTCCAATGCTTCCAATCAGTTATTTTTTTGCGAATAACATTTTCAAGAAATAAACAAACTTCTGGTTACTTTTGGTTTAATAACCTACCTGTCTAATTGACATCGTACATAGTATATAGAGAAAGATAAACGAGCAATCAGTCATATCTTGACCCATAAGATTTCTATGAGAAATTCCTTGAAAGAAAGAGTGCGGTACGAAAGGTAACTTGGCAACGACACGACCATCAAAGCTAATGTAAATGCAATAAATGGAATAGATAGTTTACGAATTTATATAGATGGCCATTGCATCATACATATTAAGACTAGCGCGAAGTATTACTCCAATTCCACTTACACAGTATTAAACATTCCAAGAAGCGCAGTAAAGGTAAAACCAATAAAAAACATGCTCTTCATTTTCACCTATACAAAGCGTACAATGAATAAAACGAGATTCGCTGAAATGTGCAAGATTAAGGTGGTGCATCATGATGCATTTACATTACAAGTTTAAATCTAAACCGTAATAATTACATAATTACACGTATATAAGCTACTTACAAATGACAAATCTCGGTTATCTCCCTTTAGCTTTTCCTCGAATTTTTCTATGATAAAAAAAAGTATTAAGATGAACTAACAAGCATGCAGAGTAAAAGCCACCAAAAATGAACAACATGACTACACAGTCCTGTAGTACTAGATTTACTGTACTTCATATACAGTGTACCGAGTATCATTGCTATACTCGGTGCATTAGTGCTTTCAATAGCAATAATGAGTTATTCAGGGATTAGATTAAGAAACACGAACTGTAAGTAAAGAAAGCTGTTGGTGTAATATTTATCAAGAGATTTTAAGCACTTTAATTGCTTTTCGCCTGCACATGTAGGTAACAAAGTGATCGGTCAGTGAACAGGCAAACATTCAAATTTAAGTGTTTACTTGATGTCAATTAGCAACTTGGTTGATGGAATCGCATAGCACAAATTACTGTCAAAAAACAATACCTATCTTTTTCTTTTGGCCGATTTGCTTATTGATATCAGTGGTCATTGATTCCTTCTTCTTTTCTACTGTATGATCAAAATCAATATTTTAAGAAAATACAGAAAAATAAATTGATGATAAAAGAGCTTGGATAATTGTTGCATAGACTACACGTTATTTGTAAATACGGTACTCTGAATTTAGTATTTTGTATAATAAAACTACTTGCTGATTTAACGAAGTGAGTATTTTGTACGCGCATATGATAAGTTTGTAGCTGAAGTGGCTCGTTGTACTGGTATTATATTGTACAGTATTTCGATTGCATGTATTTTGAATACGAACATCGTTTGCATTGTCTTTCCACAGACGCCTTTAACTTTTTATACTGGTCAGTTCGATATACCAAGAGCCAAGTTAAGCCTATAACGAAAATCATTATATATAATTATCAAGATAGATATTAAATCACAATATACAGTAGACACTATTTATGCTTTAATTTCACAATTCATACTGAAGTTCAGTAAAGTAGAACTGTATTAACAAGTAAAGTTGATCTACTAGTAATACATTAATGGCTTACAGTTTAACTCTGGGTTTTATGCTCGTTCATTTGAATTGATAAACAATAAATTGAATTTTATCTTACAGTACAGTACTAGTTCCAATTATAATTATCTAATATGTATTATTGCATCCAAAAATTTAGCAGCTACCTTCCGACGCCAACGCAGTTAGCAGCGAAATAACCAAAATTGTGATTGCATCTGACAACATGGCGATCAAGGGTGATAAAGATACAGATCTTTCAGGTATCCTAAAAGCGATAGAGTAGAGTATCCTGTACTCGTGTAGGTGTTCAGTCTTACAGTATGTAAAAAAGGTATCTACTGTTGGTTCGCAATACTGTGAGCAGAAGACTTTTCACTACAGCGCAGTGTACACCCTATATAGTACAGGACACATATTTTCCACATTGCCTGTATACTGGGTACAGTAGTCTGTAATTGCAGTACAAACTGGAAGGGAAGAGTAGTATTGGGAAATGTGGAAAATATCTGTTCACTGGACACGTTGCTACACTGTACTGTTCTACTGTATACTGTACTGTACTGACACAAAGTACAGTACACCAGTGTACATTGTGAGTTCATGACCATTAGCCATACGGTACTATACTGTACAGTACAGTACAGTGTACAGTACAATACGGTACAATGTACAGTAATGTACAGTACACTGTACGGTACTGTTTAGGCTTTGACTCTTTACCTCAGTACAGTACATTGTACTGGAAAGTACAGTACGATGGAAAGCGAAGTGTACTGTACTGTACTGTACAGTATTCTGCAGATTACGTCCGGACTAGACCTGATCAAACTACTGTACTGTACACTGTGTACTGTACAGTATGATGAAGAATAGAGACCCTTAGCCGTACAGTACAGTATACTGTACACTGTATGGCTAGGTATGGCGATCACGATGGCACCTGTACACTGTACTGTACACTCTAGTGTACAGTACAGTACTGTATCTGGTAAAGTACAGTACAATACTACTGTACAGTACAGAACAGTACAGTCACTTGACCGTATACGGTACGAGTACGAGTGAGTACACAGCCTGAGATAAGGCACATTATATATAATTTAAGCATTAAATTGGGTTCTCATTTCAAACTGTTCACTGCTCAGTGATAATAATATATACGAGTGTACTGTAGATAGAACTAATTAATTGATGGAAATTCAAAAATCAGTGGAGAAAAACGATGCTAGCGATTCTAGTCGCAATTCTAGTAATCACATGGATATGAAAAGACCATTTATCATTGGTATAGCAGGAGGAACAGCGTCTGGCAAGGTATGAATCCAGCCAAAGGCATTATTGATTTGTTGGATATGATTAAGCTAGGGAAGGCTTGCTAAACTTTACTGTTGTTGTGTGCTGAATAGCAGTGTGCTTGCGCAACTGCATTATCATGTTGTCTACTAGCTCGATGCTTTGGATGCTTATTTGGCGGCATCGGTGATTATAGTCAATTCATCAACTCAGGATTACTTACTAAACCAGTCACATCAGTAGCTGTGGCTTACATTTTGCTTTTTATCTGGGTGAAATTGTTACATGACTTTGATTTCAATCTAACAGCGAAAGCGTAGATAGTCTGTTTTATTATCTAAAATTTTAAGGTACATCAACATGCAGGACATTTATAGTTTGGTAGTGATCCTTGAAATGCTATTCATTTAGCTCAACACAGTAGTGTATAGTTTAGTCGAACAAATTTCATTACCCTTGATACTGTACAGCAGCTTGCATCATGTACTTGTGGCGCCAATAACTTAAATTTATTTATCAATTGTCTTGGTTGGAATACTGTAATTAATTACTATTAAGTGTTTATTGAACTTCATTATTCTTCGTTTATGGCTGTTTGTTAGACGTCAGTATGCAAGAAAGTAATTGAAGAACTAGATCTGGCCGAGAATAGTTCAAATCGTAATGCAGTAGTGGCTGTTTCCCAGGATTCATTTTATAAAGATTTATCTCCACATGAGAAAGACTTGGCTAAAGTAGGCGAATATAACTTCGATCATCCGGGTGAGATTGCAACACTATGTACCATTTTGAGAGTTTATTAATTTGTAGACTTAGCAAGTATACAAACTTCGTGAAGGTAGTACGATGCTTTACTGAAATGAACGTTACAACACTACAAAAAACCATCATTAAAATCAAATCTTGCAAGATGAATATGATTTAATGCGTAAAGAATGTTATTGGAATACTTTGTACTGCCTACTAATTAATGTCCGGCGATGTTATCTTCACTACGACAGTGCTACTGTACCTCGCGTGCTTTAGACCTTTAACCTTCGTTTCAATATGTATCTATGACGGTAGTTACATTTTCCCTATTGTTGTCTAACAGAAGTATATTCTTGGTACTATTCTTGGATAGATGCTTTTGATGAGGATTTGATGAAAGAAACTATGCTGAAAATTGCTAGTGGTAAACCTGTCAATTTACCTATTTACGATAGAATTAATTTTAAACGGTAAGTGATTATGTAATGTCATATACTGTATATTATACAGCTGTAGTGCAGCCCCAAGTATAACTTAGATTACGATCCAAGATTGTACGAGAATAGGTTAAATTATGAATTGATAGCGCGATAGTAAATTTAGATATGATCTTGCAACTTAATTGGTAAGATATGATTGTATTTGAAGGGAAATCATTGTGTGACGAATTGTATATATAAATCGTGAATATTGCTGTAATAATTCAGATAGTCCAGAGATAGTCTGATTGCAGTTAGATAAACCGTGAACAGGAGTAGTTGTGAGACGAACCTAATCTTATGCAATAAATTGTAGTTTACAAGAAACTGTAGTTCTTGTTATATTTTTGAAAAGACACTTTATCACAACAGGAATTGGTAATTATACTATTTACTTAAAGTAGTTTTATAAGGCAATACAGCTATAGAAATAATTGCTGCTCTTGTCAAGGTAAATTTATTACATTTACTATAAAGCAGGTATTTAGCAGTTTATATGTTCACTGATTTTTTTGATGTTATTTGGCTATATTGCTGTGATGTGTCGAAGGTACAATTATATGTTAACGGCGCTGATACTATTATTATTAAGAATTGGTATTGACTGAAAAAAATCGTTAGTAGTTCATGACTTTTAGATATTTACTGCTCTAATAAGTACCCTATTACGATCTTATTTGTTAGAGAACGGGAAGTTATTCATATCGAACCGGCTGATGTGGTTATTTTCGAGGGGATCCTAGTCCTTTACGATAAAGATCTTAGAAATATTATGCACATGAAGGTCTTCGTTGATACTGATAGCGATACGAGACTATCCAGGCGAGGTTAGTCTATTAGTAATTGCAGTAATCAGATTGTCTATATCTTTATTGCAGTTACGTTAACTTTATTTTATTTGCAGTTTTATACATACATCTAACAGATATTTAACTCCGTTGCCCGTTATGTATATTTAACTTTACAATATTCGTACTAGTACTGTTATGATAGTTAATTCGCGGATTTGGAATGGGACTTTGTATAATGGACGCATAATTTATGTTGAAAATTAATGTGGTTTAATAAATTGTTAGGTGCATCGACCCTACAGTTCTGGGTTCATAAATCAACCATCCGTACTTAAATCTGTGACTAAAATAGTGTCATGTTTTTTGCATTTTTATTTTGGTAGTTTTGAGAGACACTAAGGAGAAAGGTCGCGATTTAGGCATTGTTTTATCTCACTATACGAAATACGTCAAGCCTGCTTTTGAAGAATTTACTTTACCCGTAAGTTACGTAGTTACTAGAATTAGAGCATGCCTGACATAAGTCTGAATGTGTTCATGAATTGAAAGGTCATTCGAGTATTTTTTCTCATGTTTTTGTGATTGAAGGATTAAATAACCATCTATCAAAAATTAAAATATTCCTGCGATAACTTACTATTAAATAATAAAGTATTCATTAAGATCGTAATACCTATACTAGGAAATGTGAATGCAGTTATGAATTATGTAGTTTGGCTCTTTCTTGTACTGTAGATACTTTAGGTATTACTTTATGAAAGAAACCTGAAATTGTATGGATTGTAAACTCATTCTTTGTTGCTAGGAGAGCTAGGGCGTATATATATTTAGCAATAGTGATACGCATACACCTTCATGAAAGATGCTTGATTTCGTTGATTGAATGCTATTGCATGACTATTTTGTTTAATTCTTTTATATCAGACCAAGAAGCATGCAGATGTTATTCTTCCTCGTGGTGCAGATAATAAAGGTTATGATCACCAGTCTAGTCTCATCATTTTATTCTAACAAGTTTTAAACTCACAAATTTACTAACCTGCGTCTGTTCTACCAATGTAGTTGGAATTAACCTAATTATACAGCATATCAAAGATATCATCATTTCTGATAATCAACTTACATCAACTCGTCGTCGAAGACAAAAATCGGAATCCGGTGTCCGGCCGCATTAAAATATGCACTTTATTAACAATATTTAGTTTCGTGCCATAATTTCTTGGCTCTGCAATATTATCTTATCAGCTAGCGACTTTCGGAGTCAACATTGACTCCGAATGCTATGAAAACCTGTAGTAGAAAGAGATGCAGTACGTGTCATTCTGCATTATATTAAGCTACTATGAAAGTGTCATGCTTTTATTATCGAATTAGTTGTCGTGTAATCATCAACCACTTGTTTTCTGTCACATTTTCCAGGTATATTTAATAATTGTATGAAGTATTCGACCAAAAAGTATATTTTAAGATAATCTTTTCTAATGATTATCTTAGTCCTTATTTTACAAGTTCCAATAAGATGCTAGATCTGGTAGATCTCTTGTTAAGGTATTGCTTATAGGCAGTAATTTGACCGGAGATGCTTTGAATTATTGTGACCTTTTATACCTGGGCACAATAAATTGACAGCGCTATTATGTAATAGTAGTATTGCTAGGATCTTTCAGTTGACGACGGAAAGTAACTTAAAAACGAGATTTGGCAATGGTGGCTAAAATCAAATGAATCAACATTACATATTAATTTGATTCAAATCCATGAAGCTATAATTTTCAATGTATAACTTTATTCTCAAATTACCAGAATTTTAATATAGCTACGACAATGCATTATTATTTAATGGTTACATATAGTCAGTGTTTTAAGCGGTAACCGCTGATACCCAAATTATTCGTCATTTGCTGATTTATTATTGGGCACGATATAAGAGCAATAAAGAGATCGTATGCGTGTTAAGATACACGCAAGTCAAATTGAAATGTACATTCTTAGAAGGTTGTTGATATAAAAGGTCACGTTACAATCGTCGAGGATGACATAAGTACGTATTATACAGTATAGGGAGTGCTATGGACTACTAAATTAGATTTAGTAGTCGATGGGCTACTTTAATACTAAATCATTAAATATACATGACATAAGAATAGCAACTTTCCAGAGTTGTTTATTCAAAAACGTTGATGCCGCCCAGCCGTGGTAATACATCAAAATTGTCATTTTAGAGATATTTTAACTAATATTTCATAGTTTTTGCATATTTGATCCAACTTTGCTATGGATTGACTTCAAATAGTCACTTTCACGCAACCAATTCAGTATTTCTACAATATAAAATAAAAGTATGTAACAGTCTAACAAGGTGACTTCCCTTCAAAACCAAGTGTTAATAACTGCGAATCACCTGTTAGGTTGCGCTGATTATCTTTAGGGACTTTAGCTCTAATTCTGGTCCATTTAAAAGCCAAAGCCTCTGAAGTGCAAGACCTACATATGAATAACATAAAAGATTGAATTTAGTACTGCGTCGAATATGATAGAAAATACTCTATCATATACCAGGGCCAATTCTTCGCTATGGTAGCCCAGTCGATGTCATTCTCAGATGTACGGTTCAATTCCGAAATTCTAGAAGATATATTCAAGTACTGCAATCACATTCCAACAATTTTTGACTACACAATCTTTCCATAAGGGTTACATGTAAGAGCATAAAATGTTTATTGCTTGGAATTCAATCTATCTACGCTCATATACCTAAATATTAGCTTAGCGGTATCGAAGTATCCCCATTTTCTTACTTTCCCATTATTATCGCAATTAGTTGCATTTTGGTTGCTGAACAGCCTTGATATCAATAAATGACAGGTTAATTTTTAAATCTCTAGTGACTTTCGTGGTAGTTTTAAACATACAAAAGTATTTATTGACGTTTAACAACATACCATCTAGATCTACACTGATTTGCATTACGTGTTCCCAAATCTTTCGCGACTTGAGACCAGGGGATGCGGCATGGTCCGGAATTATTTTCGGTATGTTTCAAGACGATAGATCGTAGCTTATTGTCTTCATCTTTACTCCATTTACCTAATCGTTTTCATATCCATTATAAGATGGTTATTAGTTAGTTCATTTATTTTAATGAATTTTATGTTGAAATAATAAGCAATTGCTGATGAATTCCACAGAACCTGTATTGCATGCCATACTTTTCTGTTCCAAATATCTGATTTTGTGTTCTACCCAAATATTCGATTGGCCGATAGCCTTAGCAATAGTTTTCCAGTCGTTACCATGAATGGCATATAAACTTGATTATAAAATTTAAAAACTAAGAGATCGCTACATGTGCAATTTATAATTCAGCTAGATACCTATGGCTTACCTATGTAATTGCACCATTTCTTCCGACGAAATCCTGTAATGCAAACATGAAACACTTGAAATAAGATCACTAAACTTTGTCGAACTTTAACCATGCTATACTGCGTACATAAATGTAGAAATGTATGTTATATAAAATTAGTCAGATTAACGTACGGTTTTCCATAAGATGGGTGATAAATTCTTAAAATGTGTCTGTATGCGGCATGCAATTCACGACAAATTCCCTGAGCTGTATAGAAATAAAAACAACTGGATGAGGATCAGTATATTTTAACGAGTGAAATTTAACAGCAATATTGGATAGGCAATAGAAGCTATTGTAAGACATGAAAGATGGCAAGGTAATCTTGGTTAAGAATTTTCTAACAGAATTACCAAAATAGCGATACATTTCTGCTTTCGATGTCGGGGCGTCTTTCCTGTTACAAAATAGTAATTTCTCGCGATCTTGAATCCCATACTCCTGTAGTATACGTGTTATCGTATTTCAGTTCAGCAAGACGTAAAATAAGATTGTTCGTAATCCTTAGCAAATATGACCTTTCTAGCTGTGTTGATTACATAACTGTTTACTAAAATGAGCAGCCATTATGGTTTGGCTATATTTTAGGCATGGAAAAGGCTGAACATGTGCACGGATACAGACTTGAAGATTACACTATTTTTTCTTTTATTATTTTATCTATCATTAAGTATAGCATGAATTATAGAAACATAAGACCGGTTGCTTAGCTACCTTCATATAACGGTTAATATTTGCTTCGATTAATTCGTTTTCCTCTCTAGTCCATTTGCCATTCATTACAGATATACCTGCAATAGACAATAACAACAATCAATCAGGCTGCTGTTGACCAAGAAAGTTGCGCTGTACTGTATAGAATAAACTCGAAGAATTCTTTTAAAGGCGAATGAATTATACCATATGCACCTATGTATATTAGAATATGAAATTGATACATAGCTACAAATTTGGATTAGTGGTGACGCTACTTTACCTTTCTCTTCTAAATCTTTCATTTTTTCCTTAGATATCCTCCACTCAGCATGTATAACATCGCTTGCGTCTATATCAGATGGCGCATTGCTAGTCGTAGAACAGGACTTACTGAAATGATTGGAAGTCTTTAATCTTTTGCTACTGGGACTTTTAACACTATCTGATTGTCTATCGTTACTTTTTTCTGGATCAGTATTTGAGGTGTTGATTATCACCGACATATCAGTGGGTGCGTTGGTTTTATGATCTTTGTGTTTACGCTTCTTCTTTCGCTTCGCTCCGACTTCTACCTGAGGGAATTGAGATTTCTTGTGTTTGTTCTTCAATACATTTTGGATGAGGACCTGCTTTTCTTTAGGTATTGGATTTGCTGCATCATCATTGCTTTCTTTGCTATAGCCTTCTTCAACAATTTCTGTTTTGGAATATTTTTTACTGTGTTTCCTAATGTGCCGCCTTTCTTTATGTCCTTAAAATCATCAAATAGCATAGATAATTGTCATTCTTCAGCACTTGCTAGCACTAAAACTTATTAACTAAATGATATAAAAGTTGTTAATCAACTATCTAAGATGGTAGGGTCTACCGAGTTTGTAAGTGCTATTATTGCTGTCCAAATTTATCTTTACACACTGCGATAACATACTGTACAGTATGACTGGAGGACAGCCATTTTTAATGAAGCTTTGCTGATATTGTATGTTGGATCATTTTAACTAAGATGCCGATGCAGATTAGCTCGAACGCTTGACATACGCGTGCATGCAGTATTCGAGGGTACAATGAGGGTACTGTGCCATAAATGCACGTGCACCATAAAATTACTATTAATAAACTGTAAAATGTAATTACGCATTGGAAACCCAATAGCACGATAAACTGCAATATTGATCTGCGTAGGGAAATTACTGATATTGTTGCAAAGCGTCAATATCGAATTTAATTTGGACTTTTGTACACAGTAGCAAAATTGCTAACAATGAATGAATTCATATTAATAATATATAATATAATATAATCAGTAATATAGGCAGATATGAGGTTACCATAAGCTTAGCTATCCAATTGTAGTGAAATAATTAAGGAGTTGTCATAAAAGGAGTCAACGATGAAATTGATTTGACCAAGTATGTATTACATTGCAACCAACGACAGACAGCCTTGTAAAAGGCCAGGCAGGGTAATGGAGCATATAATATGAAATTTTCTTACCGCTTCTCTTGTGCCTTTTCCTTTTCCTATCGACTACTTCATTTTGATTGCGTTTCCTATCATCACCGTTATTAGTGCTTTCATTCAATTTTGCAATGTCGCTATTTTTCGTACTAACATTATCCATGACGCCACCAAAACTTGACCGGAGAATGCTACGACCTGAGCTGGATCGGTCATAGAACGTAAAATGAGCAGGTGTGACTGCAAGTAAACTAACGCAGACGTTTTAACGTTACGGTATGAATTCCGGTACGTTATGAACTTATGATTGTAAATTAATTAATTAATAATTATTATTATTATTACTACTGTAGAAAAATGCAGTAACACAACCTTCCACGATGGAGCTTAGGATATTGTACAGTAGTATATACTGTACAGTACAGTGTACACTTCGACGGTTTAGTACTGTACACTGTACACTATGTGCTTCTGGTCAAAATGACCAATTTTCTGCTACTCTTAACAGTACGGTATAGTCCAGTACCAGATTGTTTTTATATTTCAACTGATACTGTTCACCCGTACCACTAAAGTATGACCTTAGTAGTACAGTACATTATTGTACGGTATTACAGTATGATTCAAGTGAACCATTGAAGGTCACATTTCCAGTTACTGTACAGTACTGTAGTCCAGTCATGGTCGCGGTCTTGTGATATTTCAACTGATGCCTTCACCCGTACCACTAAAGTATGACCTTCGCAATACAGTACACAGTACTGTGCACTGTACTGTACTGCACGGTAAGATGATTCGAGTGAACCATTGAAGGTCACATTTCCACTTACAGTACAGTACAGTACAGTACTGTACTGTAGTCCTCTGTGCAGTACTGTACTGTACTGTACTGTACAGTACTGTACAGTAGTCCTCTGTACTGTACTGTACAAGATGGATGTCTGTACTGTACAGTACAGTACAGTATTGTAATTTCGTAACCACTGTCCTGCCCGGCGTCGCATTTCACTACAGGCTACTTGCATTCGAAATTCGCTACAGGACCTGCCGACTTACAAAACGGTCTTTTATACTGTACAGTACAGTATAACGTACCCTGCACGATACTTTACTGTACAGTGGACGCCAAACACGTACGGTATTTTGATGAGTTATTCGATGAGTCCAATAGCAACCTTGTACACTCCGTTGAAAACCTTTTCTTTTTAGTTTCCAAGTTTTGACCAACGATAGTAGCGTTCGGCTTTAGCGATGGATAAAGTAAGCAAATCGTTAAGTCGTGCACTTGGCGGAGAATCTGCTTTTAAACGAGAGGGAAAAGCTGCTGCTAAGGAAGGTGCTGTCATGATAATGATACGATCGTACAGTATAGACACTTTATATTAATCAGCTTCAGTGATGAGGTTATAACTATTTTTTCCACCCGACTTACATACTGTACGTACTGTACGGTAGTACACGCCACAAGAGGATACTGATTTTGGATTTTAAAACGCCAACTCTTGTAAAAATTTTCAGTGCTGTACATTACTTAAGTATGATAGCGTAATATCATTTTTTCTAATTTCTATAATTACTTTATGAGTATACGTTAGGTCATTCCATTAATTAGGTTAACTATTCGTATTTTATCGCCAGTAATTATTGTGGCTATCAATGTCTACTAGCAGTTTAGCTTGCCTTCACAAATGATATTGGTATCTGCTAATGACACACTAAATAACTTCACAAACAATTAGTAATCATTCTTAACTGTAAAAGTTTATAGCTTCTGGCCAGTCTTAATGTAACACCATCACTATACAATGGTATATCATAATTATTAATATATCTTATCGTATTTTCTAGGATTTTAATTTTTTTTAACGAGGTTTTTGAAATCAATCAAAGACCAAATGTATGTTGTATTCGACAATGTAATACTTTTTTAAATTACTTTTACGCATCTATTTTCAAAGCTCTACGCATGCATTTAATGCATTTTAACATAGATAATTTCTTTAGTGCCTTTTTTCGTTTTAAATTTTCGAGTGGTCTAAGCGAATCTTTAAAGTTACGAAATAATTTTCACTCGATTCGCTGCTTTTGTACGATATGTTATCATCTGATGGTACTTGCCGTACATGCTTGGTATTAAATTCGATTCGTGAATCGTCATTATATTCGCTTTGAAATCATTACATATCTGTAAAAGTAAAATTTAAATCTTATGACACATGGTAGACAGTGCAGCACAACTTTATATCCAGTACTTTGTACTCGTATAGATCTCAATGAAATAGCTCACACGACTGCACTACCTTATAGCGCTCAACTATCGCTGGAAACGCTAGTCAGCTTATCCAGCACCACAGGTGTGGTGATGAGGAGTGCCCTCGTAAATACATCTCGTACTTTGCGTTTCTATCTAAGTGCGATGCTTTCGTTTGCCGATAGTATACGTATTTTGGAAGTTGATTAATGCAAAAGAATCATACTGTACAATTATAAGGCTGATGAGATTAGCGGATGCATTCTGAATTAGTCAATGAACTGTGCTACGCATACTGTAATTATAATTCTAGAATAGCTTGAACTTACAAAATTGTACAATTTTAATACTCTATTTACCTTGTTGACTAGCTAAAATGATGATATATCACTTACATAAAAATAGAGCAAGTTTCAGCAAATTATTGTCATGTTTATATATGATTCTGCCACGGATCGAAATTTACTTTGTCTTCTAGTAGTCAACGGTAATTTTACAAAGCGCCACAGTCCGTTCAAGCCACAGAGTTGAAAATCGATGCGTACCGTGTACTGTTTAACCGTGGACATGATTCAATTGGACGTTTAATGTGTAGTAATTATGCACGTTAGTAACGGATCAATTCGATTAGACTATGTTACACATTGATATGAAAAAAATTACCTTAATTAGTAGTAGCAATGAGCAGCTATTGATTGCCCTTAATCGTGACGGTAATATTGTAAATTTTGTAACCAGGGAGGGATAACCAACGATGTTTAGCGACACGATAAACGTTACACGTATCCTAATAATAGGATTCCATGTTTATGGTATACCTACAATTTTACGAAGTCGTTGTCTATTTTGTCTACCGCCTCAGTTGAGGGCATTTACGTATTCTTTTTATCACCACTCTCAATTAAACTGGTTATGGCTCTACAGTACATGTGATAGAAATAAATATCAAAGCTTCTCTAGCGATAAAGTGCTTATCGTGCATATAACTACAAAGCTGATATCTTGATCATAACATTTTAATTTACTGGTTATAGTAAATTTTTCAGATTTAAACTATTGCTACAAAAATTACTAGTCTGGTTAGTATCATTCGCGAAGCATTTATGAGAGAGATTATCTCAGACAGTCGAAATTTTAAGCTATCGGGCTAGGATTGGCTAAGTTTTGAATAGAATACTCGTAAGCTTAGTTGTATCGTATTAAGGTTGTTCACAATTACCAACGAGTATGTTACCAGGATCATTACAGCTGTTCTATTACGATTAGGAGATAGCTGCCGTTATATGATACAGTATATCAACTATTTCTAATTTTATATTTCCGTAAAGATTTATATTATACTCTAGTAGTGTGTGTGTAGGATTAAACTTGAAGGTAGTTTGAAGTAATCAATGAAAACGCAATTTTTCTATCAGCATTGTTTATTCTGTTTAGTCGCTTAATCAGCTTTGCTATAAATCAGTTATTTTTTCATAAGTGACGCACTTGAACCAGTATTCAAAACTCGATTACGAGTATGTTATTTATTTATTGTATCGTACCGATTTCTATGAATGGGTTGCATGATCTATAGTAATGTTTCTATAACTAACTCTTCTTTATGATAATAAATTAATAAGAGCCTATTGTTGTTACTGAAAAGAAATAAGTAAATTCGTTTGTACGCCGTACAATTGCATTGCATCGTTACACTATACTATACAATATACTATCCAAATGAATGTATGTCAACGTTCTTATCTTGATAAATAAGCTGAACTCATTAAATTACATGTACAGTACAGTTGTTTGCGTTCATTTTTGTTTGGACGTCCCTTTATTATGATTTAAATTTATGATCTGAACGTGGTGCTACATCCTGTAATCATACTGTAACCAACCTGAACAATGTGATCATTAATCTTATTTCCAAGTAACGCAATTCTAGTAATCGTTTATACTCTATTTCATTACTATGTTATTCATTTAATCGTTACAGTTTTACACTATCATATCTACAGCTGTACACTGTGACTGTGGTGTATTCTTCATGTCCAATATTCAGCTGTATCGTTTACATAACGACCTTTTATTTATTAATTAATTATTGTACGGTACATTGCTGTCGTTTCAAATAATTGACAGTGATACGGTATTGATCACAAGTAATACTTGATTATGTAGATGTTGCTTATTTCTGTAATCACTTATGTGACGAGACGATGTTCTGTAAACTAAAATATGACCGGATTTGATCTCAATTTAATGATTACTTTTTAATGTTTATGATTACTTCGTAACATAATTAATAGATACAATTAACGAGGTAGTTTCTGTTATTTGAATTGTCGTTTCGATTATACAGCTACTATACCTTTTGGAGCTCTTGAGAACTTGATCTTGAGTACAAGCTGTTATTGATCTTATTTTTGATGTTATTTTAATGTGCTGCAAAATAGTTTATCTTGAGTGATACAGTACAAGTAAACTTCTAATTTTAATATCTAGAATAACACTTACATGATTGTTACAGATAATAATATATCGTGTTAACTTGCCATTGCATTGTTATATAAAATCTTTCTCTCAATACGTAGTCATGTAAAATACTCACGTTATAATATTCCATACGTTCATATTACTATCTAAACGATGATTATCTATTAAGAGTATTTATTTCATTTTCTCCAGAACGTGATCTTTTCTATACTCTTACGGATGAAGACTTTGAGGAGACCAACGATGATAACCTTAAGTGGCGTTACAAAGAAGCTGCAATCTACATTAACGAGGGGGCTTCCGGTGCAAATTTCGATCGTCATCCAGCTACTCCTAAAGCTATAAACGCTTACATGTAATTATTACGTATTCTATTTATACATTTATGATATGAGTACTGAATCCAAGAAACTATTAATGAGTTAAATATCGTTCTTTCATAGTCTATGCAAATTATTACATTGATACGATGCGCATATTTACTGATGGATTTGAATTTAAAATACCTTTCTTTACACACTTTTTAAAATTTTAAACATTTAGAAAGCTTTAAATAGTTGTAGTAAATACTTTAAAAGAGACCTGTAATATTTGTATGCATATATTCTAATATTGCATGGACAATTACTAATTATAATATAATTTAATAGGCTTGTCCATAATACATGGCTGCGACTGGCTGATTTACTTGTTTGCATAATCATACTAGTAATGGCATTCTTTGAAAGACCTTCTGGTAAATTGAAATTATTACATCTAGATTGTCAATTTTAACAATTTTAAAACAATAAAAAGTTAAAATCTAGTAACACAATCGCATTAAAACACCAAAGTATTATTATAACTGCTCGTTATCATTTTGTATATTTATTTGATTATGATACTTAAATTAGCTTAAATTATTAATTTTCTCTTTCAATATTCGTAGTAAATCCAGACTATAATAATAACAGAACGAGAATTATTATAACAGCGAGTATTGAATTGGTCTGCTATATCTTTTTACTGATTGGGGGATGGATCAGATATCGATTGATAGGCTGGAAAGGAATTTTCAAAGAAAAGAGGAGCATGATGGTTATAAATTGAAATTTTCTTAACTACATTTATAATCTCGAATATTGGTAAAGACTGCTTTCATTAAAAGTGCCTAATATGTTGTTGTTTATTTGTCTTTCTATTCTCCTATAGTACGTATTCATATTTTTATCACTGATTGATGCCATGCTCGTGCTTGTTCTGCCGTATCAGTTTTACCGATTCTCAAGACCATTTCGGCCAATCTATATTATTAATAATCATTACAGTTCTGGTACAAGAAGGTGCATATATCGCCATTTGTAATTTTTATTTCTAAGTATTAAATATTAGTTAAATATATGGTAAATAAAAGTGCGTATCATATTCTTACTCTAATTTTCTTTTACTCGTAAATGAATAGGGTTATATTAGATATTTTAAGATCAGCTTCGGAAATTATTGATGTTTTCATGATGACCATTACTTTCATCTTTGTCTTTTCCTTGCTTGGTGAGAGAATTTTTATCATCCTTTATATTGTTAATAGTTATAGTTATAATTATATATTCTTGACAGCAGTGATAATACCAGTTACAGTATTTAGTTTTAAAAATTATGTGTATTACTTAAATATAATTCACTGAATTGTTTTTGTGATGTAGGATTTTACTTATTTTTTAATCCTCAACCGGGACAGTACGTTCAACTCGATCAAGACTGGTATTTTAGAGAGTTGGGCATAAGCTTTGTCAGTTTCTTCATCTGCTTGACTACAGCTAAGTATGACGAAATTAATGCGGTAAACTTTGATTATACTTCCGGTAGCTGAAAATTTGGTTAAAAAATTTTCGTATTCATTTTTCTACTTACCAGTTTTCCAGATGCTATGCTTCCGGCTTACAAAACAATAGGTCATTCAGCGACGATCTACTTCATAATTTTCTGTCTTATTGGAATATACTTCTTGCAAAATTTGGTATGTATCGATGACTAATTTAAAATCAGCCATTAAGACCTAGTAAACCCAGTTGAAACTACAGTATATAGAGCATTCTTACCGAATAGTAAAATGAACTTGTCTGCCGCGGAATTGATTATTTCGATTTTATCATTGCTATCATACAGTTTCTGGCTGCAATCTATTCGTCATTCAATGAGAATTCTAAGTATCAGTTCAAGAAAATTCTTTTAGGTACAAGAAAAGGGTTACGCTTGGCATTTAATCTAATTGATTCCGATCAAATTGGACGCATAAGTTTTAGAGACTTTAGAGGTTATTTCGCTTAAATTGGGATTATCGAGTTAATTACCCGATGCATTTTAACTAATTTTTATTATAGTTAAACTTTTTTAAAAGTCCCATGTCCTTACAAACCTAGGTATTATGAAATACTATTCAAGCAGTACTCCCTTGCGAGATCTGGTCTTAATGTTTAAGATTATGGATGAGGTTTAATAAACTGAATAAAACTTGTTCTGTAAGGTATTACTCTGTATATGACTTAACTTTTACCGGTATATTTGATTATCATGATTTAAGGATGGGGAAGGCACAATAACTTTGGATGAATTTTATGAATTTCCAAGTGTATGTGCTATTACCTGGGACTCTGATGAAACTCATGATCAATTTTTTATATTCGACTACGACTCATTACCTGAATGTTTAAAGCCTGTTGCTAAAGGTTCATTTATAAGTATTCGTTATCTATCTCGGCCCTATTACGAGTTACTTTAAGTAGTTAACGATTTATTAGTTAGTTTTAATGCCTTCATATGCTTCTTGAATAGGGATGTACTGGTTTGTTACCTGGATTTATTTCCAATGGATTGTTAACTTGGTAATTATTGCAAATACAATATGGTTGCTGGCTAAGGCCATTACGGCAGATCAAATGGTAGCAACTCAAGGTGGATTAAAAGCAAAGGAGTACCTAGAAGTATTACATGTTAGTAGCCAAATCTGAGCGTTAATAAATTGCTGATGCGTCACTAGCTTGTTATGCTGTAACTGTATAAGTTACATGAATTTGTAGCATTATTGTAAAAGAAATGCTATAATGACACAGTTTAAAAATTGGCAGCAGTTATGCTAAATTCAAATGATACATATTTTACTAATTGGTTGTGAATTATAGCCTATAGATTATATATTTGTTGGCTTCTACGTTATCGAAATATTAACGCGAATGATTGGCATCGGTTGGAATAGATTTGTATCATCTATTTCGAATCTGTAAGTGATTATATAGTGTTTACATTGTTAAGACTCTTTTTCTATATTTTAATTCCTGCCTATGAATTAGGTGATTATGGCTCCGATCTCTCTACCCGAGCTGCAGTAGATATATTAGTTAGAAATGTATTATGCAGTCTAATGTCTATTTATCATTAATAGGATTGACATGTTAATAATTATTGCCGCCGTAGCTGGTGCTCTCCTTTCAACGGGTATCATAACAGTTTCACTAATGTTATTAATTATATATTAGCCTTGTAGACTCAAATTTAATGGCAATATTTCTGTTTAGGTCGAGTTGGAAATCCCCTATCCTACTTGGCTTTTTTAAGATTATTCTTAATCCTTCGCTTTATTGACATTCGTTTAAAATTAACTATCGCAATGGAAACTATTGGGATGTACGAAATAAAATCTATTATAATTGCGCTCTAGATAGAGCGATATAAATTTGAGGCTAGATTATTTGATTGTTTTAATGGCTTGTTTCGTTACATTCATCATAGGATCCTACCGAGAATGTTAAGCTTTGTTCTCGTTGTGACGTACATGTACTACTTTTTTGCTATCATTGGGATGGAGGCTTTCCCCTGTAAGTATTTACACATATTCCCCTCCTATACTTTAGGTCTAACTTGATTGCTTATTTTAGACAAAAATTCGAAATGTGGCTGCACTATGGTTCATCATTATAGCAATATTACTACTCATCCACTTAATAATAGCAAGATAATTGCGCCCTATGGGGATTATACTTATGGTTGCAGCGACGATCAATTTTATAATATCGCCGGTAACACGACTGTTTTATTCAGGAATGTTGTAAGTATTATGAAAGTCAAAATCATAATGAGTCGTAGATAAGGTTCCTTACTGAAAAGATTTAGCTGTATGTCACTTAACTGACTTGATATAGAAACTAATTTCGATTGTGATGATAAAATTTTTATTTACATTTTATCAGAATAATACTTTGGAAGTTTGCGCTAAGAAAACTACCGACCAATGCGTTAAAGATAATGGTCTGGATTGTGATTGTTCGATTAAATCCTGCGGTGGCCATTACAGTAGTAGTTATGATCGAACTAGTCCGGTACTAATTTCGATATCTAACTAAGGAAATATAACTTAGCACTTAGCATAGTTTTCATTAAATTGATGCGACCTATTCTGTTACTTGTATCTACATTATTATACACTTATGATATCGAATTAATGTGTCTGGCTGACGTAAAGTAATCACTGGTGGGTTATTTTTATCTAGGATGGCCTATATTATCTTATGAATTTCGATAGCATTCTAAACGCTTATACTACGCTGTTTGCTTTGATGGTTGTTAATAACTGGCAGATTATTATGTTTGGTATGTGTTTCATTTAAGATAATACATTACATCCGACTGTCAAATAAAATGCATTGATTATTAAATAGATATACGTATTCTTACATCATCTTTCACTATATAAATATGTCGTAACTATGTTAAATTGCTAATATTTCCTGCAGGCACTATAGATGCTTCTGGAACCACGTGGAGTATTGCCTATTTTATCTTTTTCTACTTCATCGCTGTTGAAGTTATTGTAAAGTAACTACAATATTATTATTTATGATAAACATCTAATACTTGTAGTCATTATTAAAGGTTTTGCAATGTGTGCATCCATCCTATAGCGTTGTTCAAGCCTTTATTTTGGACGCCTTCAACAAGATGACTCCGCACGTTGAGGCACATCTTAAACTTCGAGATAAGGGAAAAAATTCCAGTCAGATAGACGTGATTCAAATTCCAATTTTAAAGTAATCATACTAGCATAGGGTTACGTTGGAGTAGCAAGATAAAGTTTATTTAATGACTTTATTACCGAATCATACACAGGAGTGAAAGAAAATCTATCATTGAGGCACAGAATAGAAAATGGTATTCTATTTTATCAGCAGGTACAAATACGTATTTTTCGGTAGCTTAATTCATTCTTTAGCATTGACTGTCACAGGAGATACACGGTTGTCATTGCTATTGATAAATATATTATGCACTTTTTATTAATGTTTAGGATATATATATGGTGAAGATACGGAGGTCAGTTATAACGGCCGTCGATCACTTAATACGTTGGACATTTTTTTAATTGTATATGAGGAGGATTTAAATGCTTGGCTATCTGAGGAAGATGGACTTAAACTATGTAATTTATAGAATTTTCGCTACGTTTTTGTAACTGTAAATGACATCTTTATGTTTATATTTTAATTCCGATGCTAAGAATTATAGTTAAACTGATTAATTCGTACAGCATCATACTACGTACATACGGTACCGCTTTCTCTTTGTACGATACAATAATATAATTTTATACTCCTGTAAAATCTTTAATAGCTCGCAGTAATGAGCCAACGATTCAGTTCAGACCGGGTAAAGATCGAGAGGATGACTATTCTGGCAATGATATCGAATTGATACATGTAATGATTTATAGAATTGTAAAATAGATACTTGAATTGATATCTTAATTGGAGCTCTGACACTATATTATTGAAACCAATCTTAAAGACTTCTCCAGTTACAAAAGATAGCGATAAATCTACGGAGATTGAGTCTCTTAAAGCCGAAATTAAACAACTACGGATAGAATTAGCATCAAGTAAAAGACCGTCATCAGATCGATCGAGAAGTCCAAATTCTACATTGCGTAGAAGTCAAATTGATATCGTGAGTGCAAATCCTGATAACGCTAGTAGGATGAGTGCAGAGGTACGAAATAGCTACAAGTATTTATTTAAGTTGTTTAAGTTACAATTACTGTCTAAAATTATATGACATAGATATTTAGATGCCTAGCTAGTAATTCTAATTTTTTTCATTTTGCAATCTATGAATGCTAGTATGGCCCACATCCACCTCCTCGTCGAGCTAGCAAACAAGATAGCAAATTGCAGGATTTAGTTTAAGAGAATCTTCATTGAACTTGATAAACTAAACGCAAACTTACATTTCCATATGTCAATAT